TCCCACCCGCCATCCCACGGGGAAACCCCCCACGGCCCCGCGAGCCGCGGCCCGGCCCCCCCGTTCACTGTTGCTGCTCTCTGCCACTGAAATCTGGCAGCGAACCGGAGGAGGGAAAAAATCCTCCCAAACCTGCTATAATTAACGTTCTTGCTGTTCAAATATTTATGTAAAGCAAGATGGATCCTTCTGCCATCTCCTGGATGCGCTCAACCTCCTCCACTTTGCTGCCTGCAACAACTTTAATTGATTAAGGATGTTAATTGATTGCACAGGCCCCAAAGAGCTGCAGCCTGGACCCCTCCTCTGCCCCTCTGCAGCGGCTCCCTAGGCCCAGCTTAAACCCTCCCTGGATTAACAGGGAGGGGGAAAAGCAGCGACATCCCAGTGAGGATCTGGGCACAGTTCTGCTGTTTGGGTGCCCAGAGTCAGGCACTTCCCTATTTTACCTCACAAGGGGCCGCAAACCGGGCACGGTTGTGAGAAACCAAACACCGAAACGGCGGCAGAGCCCACGTGGGCGCCGGGCCGGGGTGACACAAGATGCTGCAAGAATTGCAGCAGCTCCGGTGCCCGCGCGGCCCCAGCTCGGAGCCCTGCTATTCCCAACCAGCCTGACGCAAGCGCGCGGTGCCGCCCGGCCGAGCCGTTCCCTGATGGGCTCCTTGGGAAGCGCCTTGGGGACAGCAAATGCAAGAGCCCGGCAGCATTGCAGCAGGGGAGGCCAGGGGCGGCCTCGGTGCTGCCTGGGGAGCTGCAGCTCAGCTCCCTCGTCACAAAAACGCATCATTATTTTTATTATTGGCTGCTAAAATTACTGCCTCCTTGGGAAAGCCTCCCGGGCAGCGGGGGCACCCGCGCGCTTCCCCCGGGGCCGAGTCGCCGGGCACGGCCGCGGGCGCCGATGCCGCTATCCCAAAGCCCGACAGCCCGGGCAGCCGCTGGATGAGCCGCTTCCGAGCCCGGCTCCCGGCCTGCTTCCCTGCCACGGGAAGGACGGCTGCTCCTTGCACTGCAGGTCAGCTCCGCCTGAAGATGCTCAGGAGAGCCCCGCAAAAACTGCTTTGCAGCAGACTCTAAGAACAGAGACATCAGCACTAAAAATATAATGCAAGTAAGTACCAGCTTCCCAGAGTTTCTTCAAAGCGTTATCCTTACTTACTAAGACTTATTGTTTCAAAATGATGTTGTTTAACGTAACCTGGAGCCTGAGACCTGCTCTGGGCGCTCTGCAACGCGGCTCTCCAGCCAGAGGAGGGAGCTGGGCCGGGCTCCGAGCGCTGCCCGTGACGCTCCGGTTACCCTTAAACCTACTGCTGGGACACGCAAAGCAGATACAAATTTCTCAAATCATTGCACTTCTTAAATGCTTTATAACATCAAGAAAGAGTTGAACCTATTGCAAAGCTTCCTTTGCAAACCCTGTCCTTATTGCCATTCTGTGGATCTGAAATTAGCCCATAAAATAAAGCAGCAACTTATCTTCACAAGCCACATCTTCATGTGGGCTGGACACACACACAAACAGCTTGTTTTTCCTAATTCCAGGCAGTTTCAGAGCTCAGGAATACGCTCAAACTCGGCGCCGTGGTCAGGACCGCAGCTCTCGCATCCGCTCCCAGCACAGGGCAGAGCCGCAAACGCCGCCCATGAGCCATGACACGAGTCACCCTCTGCGCCTCCTTTGCCAAGGTGCCCTCTCTCCCCGCCGTGCATCTTATTGCAGGTGCCACGGAGAAGTGCTGCCACTTAGACACACCTGCGATCACTAAAATACCCCGTGTGACACCTTGGGACCTTCAGGGAGCTGAAGCAGGACTAGCCAACATGCAACTTCTGGAGGTTTTAAGGGTGTTAGAGTAGGGGAGGGATTACAGCGAGGCAGAGCAGGACATTCAGCTCAACACCTGTGTGCTCAGCTCAACGCCCCGGGCTCAGCAAGCGCCCCAGCGGCGCGGCCAGACTCACCTGCTGTCGTTATCCAGAAACACGGAGCTGCTGCTCTTCCCGAGGGCTTCACTGATGGGGGAGAGGCAGAAGGGCGAGGAGAAGGCATCCGAATCGGAGTCCAGGGTGCTGTCCCTGCTCCCGTCGTCGGCAGACAGCTCCAAGGAGCCCTCGTCCTCGCCCGGCTCGGCCCGGCACTCCGGCCTGCCCTGCTCCTCCTCAGAGCTGATTGTCGACAG